ACGTCAGCAATGTTGTCGATGCGAGCCAGGAACAGAATTAGCATCTATCAGCCATCGCTGAGGTTTGAACCCGGTTAATCTTATACGAAGCGAGCGTTCTATCCCCTGAGTCACGACAGACCGATTGAATTGCACTTTGAAAAGAGCCAGGCTTATTATTATAAAAATCTACAGTATTTTCTAATCAGCTTAAGGAATTAAAGGCTTATTACAGCACTTATGTCCTTAGACATATTGCATTGATTTCTCAGATCATTTTATTATTTTAAAATATAATATTCATCGTTCAGTTAACCTGCTTTATTTCTGACTGTTTGCCATAAGCTCAGAGTGGTGAAGGAAAATTATAAATAGCAGTATTTTAGTTTTATTGCAGTAAGAAAGTTCAGTCCAATGAATTCTAAACACAATTCTTAATTAGCCTAAAGGCACAATGAAAGATTGTAATAAGCTTAAAATACACTAGGTTAATTCGAAGATAAGTTTATACAATCAGCTTGACACATTGCAAAATGGATGGTGACATTTGTAAAATATTGTAATTTAAAATTAACATATAACAATAATACATTGCGAAGCTAAGAGCTACAATGTAATGCAGAAAAGTCTGGTGCAAAATTGCACCCATTTATGATACTCGTTTACCGAATGATAATTTCATGCAAAAAATAATCTTTAATAATTATTTATTATTATTCAATTTAATACTGGGCGAAAAAAAATTTCAACTATGAACCATAAACTTTTTTTATACTATATTAATCTACTAATTTTAATAAAGTGAAATCTAAAGATTAAATTATTTTTACTAACAAGAAGCTGAGAAAAATTAAAATTATTTTTAAAAAAAATAATTTGGTTATAATGAAAAATATATTTATATGGAGCGATTATAATTGCTTAAATTTAGTAACCTTACAACGGACTTGACTTTCGCAAGCCTAGCGTAAACTTTATTCATGATTTTTCATTGCTTTGATTCGATATAGTTTTCTTTTTTTTAATTATAAAATACCTACGATGTTTCTTTTTTAAATCGTCGGTAAATTTATAATTAATTTAGTATAGAGAGCGACGGTTATGAAATTAAAATAAAACTCCATTGTTACTGGAAGCGCACATTTTTCAAAACTCAGAAAATATTAACATACTATATTTGTTCAGATTTATAGTTTTTTCTGAACATATTTTAAAATGTAAATCCCAAAATATATTATTTTTTCACAAGTTTTTTTTGTCAATAAACTGTTTAAGCAAACAAAGATTATGTGTGAACTAATAGAAGAAAAAACTTCTATTAGTTTACGCATTAGGTATTTAATTACGTCACACTAGAGCTGCACAATGGGCTATTGGCGACGGTCTGGAAAACATCCCTGACATATAATATATATAAACATATAATTTCGCATCCGGGTTGCACCGACCACAGTGCTGACGTAAAATATCTCAGTGGTAGATGGATCATGGGTTAGAATCCCTTTGCCGTCAGACTAATCGTAGGAGGTTTTCGTGGCTTTCCTCTCTATGTAACGCAAATGGGGATGAGTTCCATCAAAAAGTCCACCATGAAGGCTGTTTCTCCCAATGCTTTGTCCAGGAGTTGCCTTGTCTCCTGGATTGGATTCAAATTGACAAGGACTACGGAGTTGAACATTAATGGTCATAAACCCAAAAATTGGGTCGGCCGTTCAGCGACAGTTATAAAATAAAATAAAATATTACTTGAAACGTTCTTAAATTAACCGTAACTTTAAAATGGTTGAAATTATAGTTGTCAGGAAATAATATAATTTAAATTTAGGTTTTGAAGTGGGTAATGTAGAGGCATTGAGGCATTAGACTGTTAGTAAAAGAGTGTATTTTAGAAATTTTGATTAGAAAAGTAGAAAGGGAATGGATAGAAGAAATTAGGACTTACTAGAAGAGTCACAGTCAAATTAGACAGTGGAAAGATATAGACATGTTGTATTTTTCTGGGGGTTTTAGTTGGGATGTTTTTTCTTTTTTGGATCTGGATGTGCGATTAATTACATCTATTGGGCCATTTATGTTTCATTTATTTTTTCTTTCTTTATTTTTTTATGTATATTTCTTTTAACTCAACTATAGTGAAAAGAGTTCCATTCTTGCAGGAATCTTAGATGTGTTGTCCTTTGCTTCAAGAGTTTATTCTTTGAAAAGGATTTTTTCTCCTCTATTATTTTGCATTGTAATTTTTTATGGCTGTGATTGTGGGTCTGTCTAAGATTGTGATAACTGTCTGACCAAATGGTTGTGGAGGTGATTGAGTTGTTATTTATTATGGATTTGATGGCATCTAGGACTGCTAGGGCCTTTCTCTGAAAGATGGCTTTTTCCTTTCTAAGTTTAATTTTTTTAAATCCTTCGTTCGTTCATTGCAATGGAACTGGGCGTCTGAGACCCTTTATTTTTTCGAAATCTGTATTGCATTCCGTGCCTTTATCCATCATCGATCCGCCTATAAAAATATTTATTTGGCTCGGTATTCGTAACTGTTGCTGAATTTTGTTAATATTTTTGCTCTCAATGAATCAAGTTGAAATTAGCCGGATGTTTAGTTTTGGTTTTCTCTTCGAATCCTTTGGAGTAATTTCATTGGTGCCGGAACTGATGGATGCATTTCTGTTCTACTGGAGGTTAACTCTAATGGATTCTTTACCCAAATCAAAATTCTTGATGGTCCCATCAAAACATTTTGATGCGTTCAATGCGTTTCATAACAGTCCAACATCATTTGATGATCACCATCATCCAACATTTTCCATTATGCGTTCATGGTCTTGATATGCCAACAAACTTCCATCATTCCTATGCTATTTTAATACTATGATCGTTAAAGATTTCATTCTCATGAACCAACAAATCATGATGATTCGTAATGGTTCATGATGGTACCAACCATACATTTCCATGATAGTTTAATGGGAATTTGTTCATCAGTGCTCAAACATTTGGTTCCTAAGAAACTATGACGGATGTCCCGCAGTGGTCTGATCGTTAAGACATGGTTCCCAGCAGATCACCGAAGTCGAGCCTCACTGGCTGCTGTCAGTATGCGGGTGGGTGACCACTTGGATCAGTCTGCGTAGGGACCGAGGGTATGAGGTATGGGTCCTAGTTAAACTGTGCTACCATAAAGTGCTCGACTTCGCGTGCGTGCAGGTCGTCGGGCTACCGAAGCGGACGTGCCATCCCCTCTGCAAAGGATCAAAATTGTGATGGTATGTCTTCGGATCATCCTTAGGAATGTTTCCCACACCGTCGCCAATAACCCATTGTGCAGCTCTAGTGCGACGTAAATGAACTACAACAAAAAACAACATGACGGAAATTTCAGATGGTTCGACATGAACAAACCATCAAAACAACTTGCCATTCTTACGTTTGGACTGTCATAAATCAGTTCGAATTCCTACATTCGGATGATAGTTGCTTATGTTGGATACCATCATAAATATAATGGTTCATGACGGAATTGTGAATGGTTACCATCAAGATTATGTTGGTTCATCAATGGAAAACCATCAAAAATTTCGATTTGGGTGTGAATGATGATATGCAATGATTAAAGTGCTGAAATTAGAAGAATCTGTTATGTATGCTATGCTACAATTATATTAATTAGAAATGAAATTTTCTTAGTATGCTGTCTATGTCTTTTAAAAATTCTTTGTATTCTGGAACCAGATAATGGTCTCGTGAGCCCTCTTCCTTCCCGTAAAAACCTTAGAGGGATTTTTTTGTGTGTTTTGTCTGCATGCTCCGAGAATCACCAGCCATTCTTTGGTGGGACTGAATTTGCGTAACAGATTTTTCTTTTTGGAAATTAACATATTCTGCCCAGGTGAGTGACTCATCAATGCAAAAATTTTATCTTGTCTACAGTAAATTGCTGGGCCGTTGTCCACGCTACTTTTTATAAGCTATATCTAGGTTATGGTTGTTTCCTTGGAGAGGCCTTTGGATGGGCATTAATCATTAAGGAGCTGCTGTGGTCAGAATCCTTAAGTCGAAGGTAAAATCATCAGTGAAAGATCTGCATCGTGTTGATGTTTAAGCTGGTCTCTTAGCTCGTTCCAGACTTCCCGATGTGGCAGGTAAACTGTCGTCATCCATGATACTGGGTAATTGTATGAACTTTGTGGGGCGCCGATTGTTTGTATTTTTTGAAGTATAACCTTCTGGATTAGTAAGCATTACCTGTCTATCTTGTGAAAAGCTTTTAAAAAGGTTTAAAGATGTTAAAAAAGACATAATGTGGGTTAAAAGTGTTCAGGTTATCTTTGCGCTGAAAGTTATAAAATGATCCTGAAATATCTGGTCACAGTATCATTGTGTAGAATTTTTTTTCGTTTAGGTTGGTGTTTATTGCTTTAAAAATATGAAGTAGAGTAATTTCAACCTAGACACTTATTCTGAAATCGATTCGGGGGTTGCTTAACAAGTTATTCACCTCAATTTGATACGTTACCCTTTTAATAAATTTCGCATTTCTCGGTAAAAATGCACTTGAGCGAGGATTTTTTATTTGTTTTGGTTAAATAAGTTGTTGAAATTTAGGAGATAATTTTAAAGTTTAAAGATGTTAAAAGAGTTCTAATGATTTTGGAGGTGCTTTTAGAAGTTGTTGCTGTGGCGCCATCTATGGCCAAGAATTCGACTTCTGCCACACCATACGTCGCACCCGTTAATACGGTGGACCCATTCATACATCCATTCATTCATCCACAGATCGTAATTTTGACCTGAATCAGAGAACGATCGATCTCCAATCCAGTACCCCCAGAGGTATTGATTTGTTATGGGAGCATGGAGGACTTTTGCGACTCGACAGATTTAACGTGCATCAGTCACTTTACTACACGGGGAGTTTTCGGCCGGCGGAATTCGAATCCACGAACTCTCGGACATGGGCCCAGCGCCCTACCGACCAGGATAACCCTGCCCACGGTGCTTTTAGATGCAAAGTGTTTAACAGAAAATTATTTTCTTTTATTATGCTTGAATTTAATTACAAATAAATTAAATGTATCATGTAATAAGAACATACATAATAAGTTATGTACACAATTCCCACGAAGCTGCTCACAATTGTTTTCAAGATAATCAGGCGATCTACTTGATTCTAAATGAACAATTTCCAACAACTATCAAAAAAGTAATTCGTAAATCCTTTTCATAACTAATCAATCACCTTCAGTCACGCTTTTGATCGCAATTTTAGTTGCTGCCTGCTTTTTGAGCGCATTCGATAAAGATATCTCCCCCCTCCCATAAACAGAGTAAGGGGAGGGGAGATTGTGTGAGCAGCATTTTCGATGCCGTCCTATCTTCTTCTCCGCCAGAAAGTCCAGTGTTTATTTGTTTGAAGGAAAAAGAATGGAATTAATCCAAAGGATTGATGAAGAGTTGTTCCCACTTCAGACAAAGGATTGTGGGTATGTTGTGAAAGTGGGCAGCATCCGGCTTCTTAGGAACGGATGACTATCACAGTGTGAGGTTTGGATGGGATGACCAGTCACCAGAGGAAGGCATAGAACAATCCCGCTACCAACAGGAGGCCACGTTGAAGGTGACCACCGCTTTTACATCCTGACGCCAAGAATTCTGTCGAAAGAGAAGTATAATAGTATAAAACAGTAGTATAATAGTATAAAACAGTAGTATAATAGTATAAAACAGTAGCATAAAAGTATAAAACAGTAGTATAATAGGATAAAACAGTAGTATAAAAGTATAAAACAGTAGTATAAAAGTAATATAAAGCAGCAGCATATTATATTATATTCGTCGTTGAACAGCCGAGCCAATTTTGGGTTTACGACTACTAATGTTAAACTCCGTAGACTTGTCATTTTGACCCAATCCAGAAGACAAAGAAACTCCTGCATCAGTACCCCCAGAGGTATTGATTCGTAGTGGGAACACGGAGAACTTTGCGACTCGACAGATCTTACGTGCATCAGTCACCATTTACTACACAGGGAGTCTTTGACAGGAGGGGATCGAACCCACGAAATCTTGGACATGGGCCCAGTGCCCTACCAACCAGGCTATGACGGCTTAAAATAGTAGTATTATAAAACAGCATTAACCGTTTGAGTCCCAGGGGGTGGTGAAAAAACACTGTCGAAGAATCCTCAACAGCCATTCTCTAAATGAGTACAAAGAGACCCAAGCGGCGTGATAGAGCTTTGTTTATTTTACATCAATGAATCCCAATCGAAGTAATATAGAGCTTCTTGTATTTGTTAGGTAACGCGTCTTTTTTTCCTCATCGCTCCGTCACATTCATTGAAGTTTTCAAAGCGGTCTGACGTATTCTTGAGGTGAGTGTTTCTTTCTCATTGTTAATAATTGCGCGTTTCGAAATAGTTCGACGAAGCAACGCAAGCAAAAAATGAATCTAAATTTACAGTAAAACTTTTTTAAAATTTGGTGTATCCCCAAAAAGGTCGAATGAATGGAAAAGGAAAATCAATGAGCATCATCACAAATCCATGTGATCATATTATTGACGATTGTTTCCGTAAATTACAAAAGAATACTTCACAGGATAGTGATAAAAATGAAATAAAAAAAAAGCATTTGGAAAAACGTATTATCATAGTATTATTCTACCTATTGTAAAATGTACTATTTACATTAAAAGGAGCTGTGTGATGTACTTGCTTCAGAAAATCAGCGAGCGACTTCAACAATCGTTAACGAAGTCGAAATGTTCAGGGTTTTCTCGACATAAAATCTCTCTGCCTTGGTCTCAAACGGTTAATCTCACAAACTTAATTTATTTTCGAATGTCTACGGATAACTATTTTCTCAGTTTCTGCGGTATTTTTGGCCAAATCTTCACAGTAAGTAAACTTTTGAACATCCCCCTCAGCTTCTTCTTCTTCTTCATAAGCGCAACAGCCTTTCACAGGCCAAGGCTGACTCGCAGATTTTCCTCCATCTGGCCCTGTCCGGTGCGACGACCCGTCATCGGTTGACTCCCAATAGCTTGAGGTCCTTTTCAACGTCGTCTATCCATCTTGTAGGTGGTCATCCCCTACGTCTCGTCCCTTCGATTGTGGAAAAAGTCACTTTTTTGGCAGGGACGGCATCAGAATTTCTGAAGAGGTCGTGATGCTTTAATAGTTCTCACAATGTCGGTCCCACCGAATTTGTCATATTTTTCCCCACTCAGCTTCATCAAAAAATAACCTTAAAAACTTAATTTAAATAATTAATTTTTCATCTCCCGTGATGGCTGAGGGGATAAGGCGTTCGCCTTCCAATGAGGTGAACCGGGTTTGAAACTCAGTCGATACGAATTCCGCATCCAGCTTGCACCGAACACAGTGCTGCCGCAAAATATCATCAGTGGTAGACGAATCATGGGTTAGAGTCCCCTTGCCGTTAGGCTAGCCATAGGAGGTTTTCGTGATCTTCCTCTCCATGCAACACACATTTGGGTTATTTCCATCAAAAAGTCCTTCACAAGGGCAAATTTCACCCAATACTTAATCCAGGAGTTCTCTTGTCTTCTGGATTGGGTTCAAAATGACAAGGCTATGGAGTTGAAATTTAGAAATCGTAAACCCAAATTTGGGTCGGCTGTTTAACGACGGTTATAAAATTTAGGAAATAAGATAAATCTTTTATGAAACAATCTTAATACTAAAATTTATTTTATATAATATACTGCTCAAAAAATTGAAAGGATATTGAGGTTGTGGGTTGATCTTGCCATTAGAAAATTGTTTGTATGATTGATATATTATCGACAGATGTTGTACGTTGTTGTATATGAGATAAAAATGCGTTTTATTGAGCATTTGTGTACAAAAGTTAAAAAACAAACAAACACAATTTGTGTCTATGAGAAAAACAAATAAAAAAAGGTTTTTCCATAAAAGAAAATAGGTTTCCTCGGACGGCCAGGAACGTTGATCACCTTTGACGTATCGAGTCAATGAGATTATTAACGTGGTGATAAGATATTCTGTCCCACTCCTCCAAAAGAGTTATTTCCAGTTCTTGGAGAGTTTGTGGGGGTGGTAGGCGTCAAGTAATTCGTCTGCCTAGAATGTCCCAAACATGATCGATGGGGTTCATGGCCAGAGAACAAGCAGGTCAATCCATTCGTATGATTCCTTCCTTCAGAAAGAAATCATTAACCACGTTTGCACGATGTGGCCTGCAATCGTCCATGAACATGAAGTCCTCTCCAATTTCTGCAGGGACTACAATAAGTCTTGGAATCTCATCCCTATATCCGCGACGGTTCAGAGTTTCATTTCGAATGATATGGAGATCAGTGCCCCCTCCCCTCGATAGAAATGCCAGCATTGACCATCACTCCCCCGTCACCAAATCTTACACTTTCAAGAACGACCGCAGGATTGTTTCTAGAGCCATGTTCCCTAAAAATGGAAATACGCCTATTATCAGGAAGGGCAGAAAAACGGGGAAAGAGAATATTGCCCTATTCATTTCTCCTCCAGTTCACGTGCTCTGTTGCCTACTCACTGCGGGCACAACGGTTGAAGATTGTACCAATTGTTGAAGAGTGAAGATTGAAAGAAGAGTAACCTTCATATTTCGATTTATCCGAGCCATTAGCTTCAAATGGGTGTTGTTGCACGCCTTTGCCCTGATATTCGGCCTGAATTTTCAATCTCCACAAAAACAATTCCAGATCCTGGAAATAGCAATTTTCAAAACTTCAATGGCTTCTGCTACTTCGGTTTGTGTTTGGCCCACCTCTAACTGGCCAACAACTCTCCAAGTTTCTGACTGGCTTAAATGACTAACTCACACTCATCAAAACAACGCGCTTACTGAATGTCGATCATTTTTTGTGTGCGCTTTGTCTTACATTAAGTTGAAAGTCAAATCAAATTCGCTGCCGTTAAAGCGTCGTCTTCAACGCCAAACTCAAAATTTGTGTACTGTGAGGTTTGAAAATACGGAATGAGCCTCTTCTTCGATTTTAAGCAACAAAAAAAAATTTGCTCATACCATTATTTTATACATGACTTATAATATCCTTGCATTGTTTTGAGCTGTGTATTACTAGAAAAAATATTGGTCTTATGCGGTGTAAAGTGAAGGATAGCACATATCCGCACTATTATGAAGCACAAGTTAGAGCGTGGAACCACGATATTCCAGACCATGCATATCATTCATAGTGTATTTGGCTCTGATGTTGATTGGCGTCAGTGTTGGTCGAACAAGGACCAAACGCAGTCCCAAGCGTCATGTCCAACAAAACAAAAAAGCTGATGGTGAGTGTTACGTATTTTAGCACTGGTGGGATCCATTATTTTTTGAAACCTGGCCCATCGGACACAATAGAAATAACCTACAATTGTTGTTGTTGTTTTCATATGCCTGTTTAGGCAGAGGGGTGCGATTGTTCTTGTTTGTCAGTGGCGCCACCTATGGCCAAGAATTAGACTTCTGCCACACCCACACGTCACACCCGTTTGTAGGGCGGACCCATTCATGGAACCATTTATTCATCCACAGATCGTAATTTTGACCTGAATCAGAGAACGATCGATCTCCATTCCAGTTCCCCCAGAGGTTGTGATTTGTTGTGGGAACATGGAGGACTTTGCGACTCGACAGATTTAACGTGCATCAGTCACTTTTTGCTACACGGGGAGTCTTCGCCCGGCGGGGTTCGAACCCACAAACTCTCGGACATGGGCCCAGCTCCCTACCCACTAGGCTATCCCGGCCAACCTATAACTAACTCGACGAAATGAGGCTAAAACTTTTATTTTCTTCCAATTTAATGCACTGAAATGAAGAGAATTTCCAGACTGAGTCGATTATCTCTAGAACTACGGGATCGATTTAAATGAAATTTGATATGACATTGATACAATACAAAACAAATAACCATTCAACAATTGTAATACACTCTATTGATCATGCGTGTAACACTAGTTGGAGTAGAAACGTATGAAACAGCGGTTGCAAAATAAACAAAAAAAATCGGCGGTTGCAGAATAATCGACCAAGTCGGCAAATTCTCTTAATTTCTCCCACCAGTGTACTTAAAGACCTAATACAAGGAAAATGTTTGAAAAATACATACAAAATATTATCTCAGTTTCAGAAATAAATGTTTTTGAACAAACAAGAACTCCCCATAAAATAACATAAATAGTATACGAATTTTATGCATTTTTATGTTTATTCTTATAAAAATCGGTTCGAAGTTGAATTATAGTATCGGTATTTTTAATCAATATAATAAGGTACAAATTTGATTCAAAATGAATAAGGTTTTCAATTAAACCATACTTCAGTTCAAGTTGAAAAATAATATACGAGGTGAAAATTGGTTCCCAGCTAGGATCAGCAGTTAAGTACAAAATAAATTCAAAACCATTTCTGCTTAAATAATTCTGGATATTCTGAAGAATCAATTTTTGAGTTTGAAGAGAAATCAATCACAAAAAAATAGCACATCATACTGCAGAAAATATTTTTTGGCCATAGTTTCCACTCGTGTTAATTTATTTGTCTTATCACTGAAAAAAGCTTTTTTTTTTCTTCCATTAATTTACTCATAATCTAATTTTAATTAAACATTTTATAAACATTTT